TAAGGTTCCTTAATGTAACGATGCATAACCTGATGCATTCCATGATGTGTTCTTATTTGGATTCTGTAAAGTTTACTTTTTAACAAATAGGATTTGGAAAAGTAAAATGTCACTTAGAATGAGCTATGCACTTAAAGTTTCATAGTTCCTAGGTTATCTGCCACACCAGGCCATCCACTCCCTTCCTGTCTCCCAGGACAAATCACACCACAGTTTTCTGTATACAGTATTCATGGATAATAATTTTATTTCTAGCAGAAACCTATTAAGAAGGGAGAATAAATTCTTGAGAGGTGGAATTGGTCAATTTTCTCTTTGCTGGAACAAAATACTCAGCAACCACAGCATAGAGGAGAACTTTATTTTACCCATAGATTTGAGATGATTCAGTTCATGGTTCCCTGGTGCCAAGCAGAAATGGCAATGCAGAAGTGATCTCAGAGGAGAGGTTCTAACTCCATGGCAGCCAGGAAACAGAGACAGAGAGGAGTCACTGGGACAAGAGTTTTTCTGCAGTGTCCACCTCCATCTTGGCCCCACCTCCCAGCAGAACAGTCAGCTACTGAACTCCCCAGGATGAATGAGCTGATGAGGAACAGGACGGATGATCCAGTCAAGATCCAAACATGAAGTTCTGGAGGGAAAGTTTAGATCTAAACTATGAAATGGTTTTGAATGTGATCATAAAACTGAGTAGGAGCCATTGGAAGTATGACCAATATGGCATTTAATGCATAGCATGAGTGTGTTTGTGAGTTTGTGTCTATCACCAAAGGTCACACACATGCATATTGAGTGTCTCAGATATACTTACAAATCTCATTGTCCTATGTAAAAATTCACTTATTAATATCACTTTGTTAGTATTTGTATTCACTTATTAGTATTCAAATCATTGAACTGGGCAAAAATAGTTCATTTAAATGTACATTTCTTATGGGACATTTTTTATTCTGTAGAATCAAACAAGAAAACTTCAGTCCAACTCTTCAACACATCACTGGGTTCAGCTATGGAAAGAAGCATCCAGGGAGGGAAGACAGCCCATGCAGTTATAGGACTTTTCTGTGAGTGAAAACATCAGCCTAGCACTGTGACTCAGCTTCCTCAGAAAACCCCATGTAATAGGCCTGGGTCCTCCATACAGAAGGCTATGTTGCTGCCACCACTGAGGTTCTCAGGCAGTCTGTGAATAGCACCCCTTTACACAACAAGCTCTTGTGAGCATCTCCTACCACGTCACTGGTGTAGGGTGAACCAGAGACACTGAAGTGTTTGTTCTGTGACTTTTGATTCCCATAAGAACTCAGTCTTATTCAATAAACCTCTTTTCAAATTGGCTTCTGATTAGACCCCCTTCTAAATATGGCAGTGAAGCAAGAAACTGAGGAATGCAGACAGACCACTCTTAACGGGAAGGTAGGACCAAAAAGTGGCTTTAAATGCTGGCAGCTCTGCAAGTGACTCCTGTCAGTCTTGAGGGCTTCAAATAGAAGTTTGTGCTTCCTTATATACCTCTTTTTACATCTACAAAGCTTAAGGTCATTGGCACTTCCTTGGGAATATAGCAAGCAGGATTTATACAAAGCAGAGAAGTGGAGAAGGGGGAGCAAAGAGTTCTGGAAGGACTTTCTGTCTTCTGTATTTACTGTATACAGATAATCTGTATCCTTTGGTGACAGATTACAGAAGTTGTCGTGGCTACTCAGATACACTGTAGAAATAGCATCTTTAACTAGTTAACCCATAGTTGCTTAATAACACAACTAACCCATAGTTGCCCAATTGCATATGGAGGGGTTGTCTCCTATCTGAGCAGCACTGCAGTGGATTTCTTCCTCAAAGCTACCCTACCATACTTAAGGGGTCACTTTCAGAGTAAAACCTACCTTCCTTTGCAACTTGCAATAAGTGGGGTGGGGTTTTTTTGTTTTTTTGTTTGTTTTCAGGATTTGTGTTGCTGGTCTGTTTATCACTGAGGCTGCAGTTTCTTTCAGAGATTATATTTTGCTTCATGTGTCAGATTCCGAAGGGAATTTTTTCCAATTCATGTTATGTGTCCTGAATTATTCTGATATGAAAGTTAAGAAAGGACAGTAGAAGAGAATAAATTGCCAGAAAGTATTCCTCATGAACATACACCCAATATCCCCAACAAAATACATGCAAATCAAATTCAACAGCACATAAAAGTAAGTTTTACTGTGATCCATTGGCATTTACTTTTGGGAAGTAAATTTGGTTGAATTCATGCAAATCATTGAAAGTGATTCAACAAAATGACAGGCTGAAGGATAGCTTTATAGATAATCTCAATAAATGCAGAAAATCATTTGACAATATTCAACAATCTTTCATAATCAAAATTCTCCACAAAGAGCAATCTGGTTGTCACACACCTATAATCCATATACATATGCCGTAGTTCCAGGCAACTCAAAGAAGCCCCATCAATGAAGCATGAGGCTTTGAGGGGATATCTTGGTACAATCCAAAGCACATATGATAGAGCAATCACATGCCTGATATGTATGCAAGACACTGAAATCAATCTACTGAAGAAATATCCTCAACTCTTATTAATTGCAAGTCTATTGACGAGGAACCAACCCAGGTGTCCTTCATCAAATGAAGGAGCAAATCCAGCATATACACTAATGGAATGGTACTATACAGTCTTAAAAACAGGGAAGTTCTGGCTTTTGCCCCAACATGGCTGAACCCTGAAGGGATTATGCTATGTGAAACACACCAGGCATAATCACTCTATGTGGAATGTCACAAAGTTGAATTCGTACATCTAGAGAGTAAAATTATTGTCACCAGATGCTGGCTGAGGGGATTCAATGGGCAACAGGGAAATATTGGTTACAGTGTATGAAATTTCAGCTACACTGAAAGATTCAATTTTAGTGATCTATTGGACAGAATGGTGAATATACAGTCATAGTAATGTATATTTTCAATAGGTGAACAAAAGGGAACATTGAATGTTCGTCCTTAAAAATGGTTAGCAGAATGGATGATAAACTTAATAATTAGTCCCATTTCAACATTCCACTGTGTAAACCTTAAGGAATGACAAGGGATCCTTTAAATGTCTATGATTATTATTTGGAAATAAGTACATACAGAAAATTACTCAAAACAAAAACTAGAACTAAAAATTTGCTAGTGTAAAGGACTTGAGTATTATATTTGAAAAAGTCTAACTCATAATAGTATATTCATTGAAAATGCAAAAAATACTGGTGTAGAATCTTATAAATCCATTAATAATAATCATATGTTCTAGGTACAGTCAAACCAAAGAAGAATTAGAGTAATTTATAAATTAACGATGGAAATTACAAATCAATCTCCCTGTTCATACAAATATCTTGAGAAAGTAATTCTGTACAGAAAAATTTGCATAACTGTAAATAAAGACAAAAATAGGGGAAAATAAATTCCTCTTCAAACATTCAGAATTGTTGACACTCTACTTAGCAAACATAAATTAGAGGGCTGGGGATTTAGCTCAGTGGTTCCACTGCCTGCCTTGAAAGAGCAAGGTCCTGAGTTCAATCACTGGTACCAAGAAAAAAACCCATAAATTAGAAAGCAACTTTTTATCCTTGAAAGGAACTATGCAGGTGACCCTGGTAACATTACTTTTAAAAAGAAATGTGGATATGTTCATAAGCTTTGTTGAAGGAAATAGTTGATGAAAAATACAGAAATTAAATTGGATTTGCACCTTATATAAATAAGTACAAAATTGTCACCTATAACTAGGTAAAGCTGGAGATGTAGACTCCTCAGGCATGAAACATTGAAAGTTGAGGTACATTGAGGTAAAACATTGAAAGCTGGGGTGTCTCAGGCATCAGAGGATGGTGAGTCACCTCCAAACCTTCACTGGGGTGTTAGCTCTGGATGACAGGAGGTCCATAGGGCCAAAAACCACTTGATTCTTCTAAGAGCAATAAGTACAAAGATGCAGGGAGCCTGATGCATGTGTTGTTCCAGTGCTGGACTGGGGCTAAGTGGGCACCAGAGCCTCAGTGCTGAGCTTTTCCTAGACAGGACATCTGAATTATAATATAGGCAAATGTGTGAATCAGTTTTGAGACACAAAATTGCCAATACTGTATTTATTTTAACCACTAGGTTCCAGAATCAGCTCTTGGGTGTCAGAAAAATAAAATTATTTCTATTTTATATCAATGCATTTGTATGCAGTATTTGATGTGAAAAATGTACTACACATCCAAGCATTACCTGTCACTCCTCAGGTAAATTCCAGGAGCAGTTACCTTTTCATCTATCTCCATGCTACAATCTGATAATTTTTTTCTTTATGCACAAATTTGAGTGAATAAAGCAGAGGTTGAACTATTCATCCAGAGCACAGGAAGAAACCAAACCTTCCAAAATAAAAATTTAGTGAATTCAGTTGTTTTGTGTCCTAATTTTCATTTAGTGAAGAAAAAAGTTTTTAGCAAATGTCTGTGAGGATCACAATGTTGATCATCCCATTGTATCCTCCAGCCTGAGTTGTCCCCCTCCCTAACCACCTTGTCACTTATCCCAGCCTGAGTGGAAGAGTGAGTGCAAAGAGCACAGTGCAGACAGCAGGGTCTTCTCACAGGACCACTCAGTGTGCTTCTCTATGTTGGTCAGATACAGCACCTGAGGTTCTCTCAACAGCACAGGTGTCTGTTAAGGTGGTACACAAAAAGCATGCCCAGCTCCCAATGCCTGCCTTTGATCTTATCTTAATATATCCCAAATATATTCAAAACAATTTGTCAATATAGATCAGATTTCTTATGTTTCTAAAAAGGGTTATAAAACATAAGAATTACTGAGCAAAAAAGTTGAGATATACATTTGTCATTCACCATAAGAAACATATAGAGAGACACATACAGACAACAAAAATACGGAGTCAGCTAAAATACACAGTCCAGAGGTGTAGATCACAATTAAATGACATACATCATTAATGAGTAAAACTAAATTCCAATGGTAGATGATATTTTTGTTTTACTCAAGAAATTTTTCACAGAAAACACACAGAATCTGTTGAACATTCTTTGCAGAGCAGCATTGATCTCCCTGTTGCGTAGACAGTAGATGATGGGGTTCATGAAGGGAGGCACCATGCTGTAGAACACAGCAGTCAGCAGATTCTTAAGGGATGGTTTCTTTGCAATGGGACCTAAGACAGCCACCACCCCAGAAATTAAAAACAAAAAGAGAATGGCCAACTGTGGTGTACATGTGGATATGGCTTTGGTACGGGCTTCCATGGAATGCATCTCGAGCACAGTTGAAAAAATTTTGATATATGACATAAATATAAAGGCTACACAGCCTAAGACAAAACAAATACACACAATAACCAATATAAATTCAGAATACTGGACATCTGCTGATGATATCCTCAGAATTTGAGGAATATCACAGAAATATTGCTGGATCACATTGGTCTTGGTGAAGGGAAGCCTGAAGAGAACACCAGTATTCATACCTGAGTATACCAGACCAGAGGCCCAGGAGCCAGCTGCAGCCTGTGAGCACAGCCTTGGAGTGATGATGAGCCCATAGTGCAGAGGGTAGCAAATGGCCACATAGCGGTCATAGGACATAACCGCTAGGAATGCAAATTCCACAGCTGCAAAAAGTGTATATAAGAACATCTGTCCAGCACACTCTGTCAGGGATATGGTCTTACTACCAGTCATGGAATTCACTATGGCTCTGGGAACAACCACTGAGATGCTGCCAAGATCTAGAAGGGCCACATTGATTATAAAATAGTACATGGGAGAGTGCAGACATTTTTCTGTAACTATGAGTGTGGCAGTCACAAGATTCCCTGCCAGTGCTCCCAGATAAATCATTAAGAACAGCACACCTTGCAGAACCTGGAGCTCCCGGGAGCCTGTGACATCCATGAGGAGGAACTCTGTGAAGACAGTGAGGTTGTCCATGTCTGCCCACCAGCCATGGTCTCTACAAAGTCAGAGGTTAAAGTGAGCAGTGGATGATCCACAGGCAGAATGCATAGCACCCATTAGACCTGCAGTTTCTTCTAATTAGGACCTCAGGAGACAATAAGGGGATAAAATGAAGCATTTTGAAATCTAGTGAACATATATATTTCTGTTTTGATTTTCTTTCCCCAAACTGCTGACATGTTTTTAGTTTCTATACTCATAGCAGGAGAGAATTAAGCAATATAGTATTTAAAATGAAGTCAAGTTCCATCTCTCATTTTTTCAGTTCTTTCAAAATTACTCTTTAAATTTTACTTGGACACCTCAAATATTTTCCCATTTGTTTCAGTTTTGTGTGGTGATCCTACACCTACTCTATGAGAGCTTCTCTGTCAGCCCTGGGGTTGGAAAATTCCTCATCTGCTCCTCATTCGCTATGTCCTATGGGTGTAGAATGACTGTGATGTGATACTTCTGTGGCTGATGCTCTCCTCAGTTTTTCCTAACAGGTCTAATTCATGAACCTGAGCTGCCTTTGACAATGATTTTAATCTAAAGGACACCAGGCTGGTCAAGCTGTACCCTTTTCTTCCTTCACATGCTCTTCCAGAACAGTTTGTGAGCCCTTTCTTTCCCTATTTGCACTGTTATGTATACAAGAAGTGATTTCATTCTGGAGGTAGAATTTCTAATTTCCATTGGCAGTGTATTTTCTATTTTCTTCTGATACCTCCATGCCTGCATATTTTATATTAAGAAAACTTTTTTTGTATCAAGGATTGAACTTGGGACCTTGTGTTTGCAAGGCCAGTGCTTGAACCACTGAGCTAAATCCCCAGCCCTAAAAATAACTTTTTAAAATACTCCTCCTAAATCCAACTACCAGCTAGACATGTATTCTAATATTTAATTACATGACAACTGTCTCTGCAGACTCCCCTTCTGTTGATTTCAGAGCTTTTCTAAAATTTCATTATTCTGAAGTTATTTTAACCTCACTTCATTTACCATTGCTTGTTTTGAAGCAATCAAATAATAAAAAATCTGCTTACTAATTTTCTTTTCAGTATTTCAACTAGTCATACTGAGAGTTCTAGTATTGTTTTCTTTTATTTTCAGAGGTAAAAAACAGAACTCAGGTATTATAATATTGAAAATATTTTCATTGGCATTGGTAATACTTTGTTGAAAATTACTATGCCATTACAGAACATTTACCATTTCCTGCTCTTTCTGTGTATAAAAATAATTATTTGCTTACAGTGCACATTAATTATGAGTGTTCTACAAAACTGTGTTTATTGGAATTGTTTTGTCTGGTAATTATTTGACTTACATGTGGTTTCTTCTTTTAGCCTTATTTGTTATTAAAAAGACAATAGTTTGAGGACAGAATATCACTCTCAAATCCAAATTAATTGATGAAGCTGCTACTGCTGACATGGTGTGGATCACAGCCAACTATGGCAATTTTATTTCCTTTGTCAAATTCACAGATAGGGGTCATCAAAACTCTTAGTCTCATTTTCCATCCCATCTTATTACATGCCCTTCCTCTTAGTGCAAACAAATTCTCAAGTTTCCCTGAGCTGAATTCATCTTACATTTCCATTCTGCACAGCACATCCTGATCATGTCCAGAAGAGGAAACCCAAGGGCTGGAGATTTAGCTCAGTGTTTCTGCCACCTGTCTCACAAGCACAAGGTCCTGAGTTTGATCCCTGGTACAAAAAAAAAGAGGAAAACCAGATTGCTCCTCCTTTTCATTTTCTCAGTGATGTGTTGAAAGAATTTGGCCACAACTTCAAAATGTGAACAACAGAGTGAGTGAGACATTTCATTTGCCACAAGTAACTAAATGGGTGAAATATCACAATTTATCTAAAGAGGCATTATAATTTTAATATTGTGTGGATTCCAGTTATCATCAAATTGAGCATAAGAGTGACCACACTAGACTTCTCAACCTTTTTGCTTTTGCTAATTTAAAGACCATGCTTAAACACTATAGTTTGATTTCCATGAAATGCTCTCATAAATTTTAGCTGCTTATAGATTTGTTCATTTGTTCATTACCCTTTTAATTCCACCTCAAGTTACTATTAAAATGGCCTGTTTCCCTGTTCCACAGTAATTTCCAATCACTATAATTCCTATCTTTAGACTTGGGCCTTAAATGGAACACAGCTCCTCCTGGACCACTTGAAAAACTAATTTCTCAAGGTAAACTGTAGAAACTGGAACAATCTGTCTTTTTTATACTACGTATACATCACGTGTGGCTGAAATAGTTACTTTAGTTAAGATTTTGAAGTATTCCATAGATACTTGTATCTATCTTATACATTACTAATGTTAACAGAAATATAGAAATTAACATGCACAAAATTACCTGAGCAGTGGAGTAATGATTCTAACCTCACTAACAAGAATGTTGCTTGTGTTCAGTGTTAAGAGACTTATTGGGGTCCTTGATCCCTTCTTCAGTGAGTAATACCAAAGTCACTTCTCAGTGAGACTCCCAGTGTGGATAGGGTGGGCAGCCCTGCTTCTGAAATACCTGTGAGCCTGGTGAGTCTCCACCAAGGACATTTGAGGGTCACACTTCTGATGAGCTCTGGAGACCTGGTGATCCCATGTTTACTGCAGCCTCTAATTGGCAAGAATTCTTGGCCACACCATTGAGACTAATTAAATTTCAAATACAGTCTTAAGAAGTACTTTATGTGTGTGACACTTAATAAAGAGGAAGCATTCAGATATGATTTATGTGTCACTGGAGATCCAGGGAATTTTCCAGTTCACAAATTATTATAAAATTAATTGGCTTACATTATAGTAAATCCCTAAAACTTTGGCTTTCCAGTCAGCATGCTTTGACTGGAGGAGGGATGTCTCTCTGTGGGTTGAATTTTCCAAAGAACCAATACATGATATTACAGAATCATGCATCACTCATACCAAGGGCCAGAAAAATTAAAATCAGAGTGTGATAAATTCATTCATAGGGCTTCATTGTCCTATGTTCAATTATTCTTTAATGAATCAGAAGTTATTTTGTATCACTGTGGAATAAATTAAGAATATCAGAATTAAATGGGTACCTGATGAAACTCCTCCCACCCACTAATCCTATATCAATGCAAAGCAGTATTTTTCTTGTTGTTCATCCAAACTCATTGACTACCCTGGCCAGGATGTTTCTCCTCAGAAGCAAATGATTCCTGCACAGGATTCCCAAGCTCATGGACTGAGAATCCTCTCCTCTATGGTCAGACATCTTCCTTGTTGTCAGTTAGCTTCTGCTTGTATATAAAAAAATAATGCATACCCAGGACTTTGTAATGAATAGGTTCTTCAGGAAGCTTAGGTGAACACCATATATGTCATGTGTCTTTATCTACTTTCTCCTTAAAGTATCAAAATAATTTATTTATTAAATTTATTTATTAGCAAACAGTTTTGAAGGTCCAAGTGCATGTCACAAGCATGGGCTTCTGCTTATCAGCTAATGGAAGAAATTAACATATGCAGAGAGAGAGAGAGAGAGAGAGAGAGAAGAGTGGAGTCACAAAGGTGGGTCCTGGTCCCAGCATCTTGGTCTTCTGAAGGAAACACCTCCTTTGGTAAGAAATTAATTGCTGTGAGAAATATATTAATCTTTACTGAAGATTTTACTCTATAATTCAATTAGCTCTCCATAGGCTGAACTTCTTGAAGGGTATATCATCTCTTGTTTCCCCTACATTGGAGAACCTGCCTCCAGGATATCAATGTCTCAATTAAAGCATCTTATTTGTAACAAGTGTTATCATATTAAATGCTCTCTGATTTATCTTCTAACAGATTTCATTGATAATTCAAGTGTAGTATTTGATTCTTTAGGGTTAGATACTTATGTTCACATCTTCAGACTGCCACTTTTAACTTAGTTCTAGGCAAAAGCTACACTGAGGATTTTAAAATTAACTTATGGCAGAAATTGAATAAGAAAATAAAATGAATGATTATGGAAAATTTAGACAAATTTATAATCCTCATCTTGTAGTTTTCAGTAGCATTGGAGTCTATTTATTCTTAATAAAGTAGCCTCAGGCATGTATATAACTAGTGTTTCCCTAATGGTGAAAGCCAATGCCCTAAGGATCACACAGGAAGCTCTCTAATGTGGTTCTGCATGATACATTTGAAATATGAAGAATTTAATAATCCACCATTGATTTGGGCAAGTTCATGTTGCAATAAGTGGAAAGAGATTTGATTAGTACCATTTTCACACTATAGCTAATTGACACTGAACATTAGTTTATGCTTCTTAAATTTCACTAGGGCATAAAGAAGAATTTGGCTTCAGACCCACGTAAATGGGCATCTTTTTGCAAAATGCTCCTAAGTTCCCTTTGCATAAATGTAAGTAAAATTATAATAAGAAATCTGACTCAAACATTGGCTACTATGGCCTAAGAACCTATTGTAGAGCCTATTGTTGCCCAGAAAACTCCAATCCTCTTACTAAATTTGTTTTAAATAATGAGTTTTTTTGCACTATCTGTTGTGTGAACAGGGCAGAATGAAGTTGTAGCAATACTTGCTGCTGTATTTGGATAACTACATCTGGTGTGGTGGAATCTCCTGAAAAAAGCCAACATCCCAGCTACTTTTGTCAAACATGCATGTCCTTCTTATGGCTGATTTGGGGTATATTTCCATTTGCTTGGTTGATTTATAAATGCTCTTGATGAGTTTTCTCAGTTGCTTACTTATGATCTTCACCCTAGGAATTCTAATTGTTTTGTGTGCTGTGTCACCATAGAGTGTTACATGCTCATATACAGCCATCTCTTACATGTCATGTGGTCTCACTATGTGTATAATAAAGATGAAAATAAGAATATGAAGAATTATCCAACTAATTTGACTTTATTAATTGTAAATTCCAAACTAGGACAAAAATTGTAAATTTTAATATGGATAGAAAGTGAGATCCAATGCTC